ACGACGCCCACCATTCTTTCTAGCTTGGTATTGCCCTCTAAAACATAAATCTAGTACCGAAATCCTATGTTGAGAGGTCAGGCTCTCTCCAGGAATCACCTTACAATCATTGCATTTCAGGCGGTCCACTTTTCTTACTAAAAAGTAATCTATTTGGCTCTTAACTGACCCACTCTTAAAAGTTATCAAATGCTCCTCCCTCTTTTTATACATAGTATGAGCCACCACCAGGTCAGAAGCCAACGTAAAATCTAAGATACTCTCTCCAGTCTCATTTCTGTCACCAAAACCGTATCCACCATGCACCCTTTCATAGCCTAGTTTATCTATGCCTACATGGCCATTAAAATCTCCACCTATAACCAGGTTCTCTCCTACAAGCATCTCCTGTAAGATCTCATCCATTTGCTCCCAAAAATCCTTCTTAGTCTGATCATCTAATCCTACTTGAGGGGCGTATGCACTAATAACGTTCACTATATTCCCTCAAATAACTAGTTTAACTAACATAATCCTATCTCCTTTCCTAATGACCGCCACTACATTCTCTACCAGACCCTTGGCAATTATGATTCCTACCTCATTCCTGCGTCTGTCTTTACCACTATAATACAATTTAAAACTAGTACCCTCAATTTCCCTAGCTTTCTCACTCGTCCACTTAGTTTCTTGTACGTAAGCTATACTAACTCTCCTCATAATCATAACATCTACCAATTTCATCGTCTTACCAGTTAAGGTTCCTATATTCCAACAAACGGTTACAATCGTTGACATAAATATTTTGAGATGTTTGTCTTTTTCTTTTTCTTTTTTTCTTTTTTTTAAAAAAGTCGAAATTATCGTTTTCCCCGTAATAAATAAATAAAAAAAACATAAAAAAGCATGCTAAACAAAAACAAAAACAAAAATTAAAAAAAAAAAAAAACACCAAATTAATCGACTGACTTGTCGGCCTCAAACCACCCCGCCCAACACTGGCCAACAGGTTGGGGGAACACCTTCACCTCAAGGACATTTGGGTAATTTCACATGTGGACACCTCACTAAAAAGTCAAAAAAGTCAAAAAGTCTATCCCAAATCAGGCTTTTTAGCCCCAAACTAAAAAAGTCAAAAAGTCAACCCACATCTCAAACGAACCCTTACTTTTTACTTTTTTCATTATAATTTTATCCTTATCCAAAATTACCAAAAAGTACCAAAACCCAAAAAAAACCTAAACATTCTTATTTTCTTTATACCCACTCCTTCACCACCACCTCACCCACCGATGCCACTCTCCTCTTCCTTTTTCTTTTTTTTTCTCCAAACTTGAAACCTCATTATCTCTTTGTCTCTCTCTATCTCTCTTTTGGGGTAGAATAAAGCTGGAATGAGTGACCACAATCGTAGAATAGAGGAGGCATAAGGGGTTGGATCACATGATGAAGATGGATGTGTAATAATGGAAGTAGACTGGAATTTTGTAAGTAGACTAAGATGTGTAATGATGGAGAGGGAAGTGTAAGTAGACTGGGTCATGCGATGAATGAGGTTGTTCACGGTGGTATGATGGATGTAGAAGTTGCAATAAAGAAAGGAAGTCGATGAGAGGATTGCTAGTAAAGGGAGCTTGGCTAGAGATTGGTGGCCGACAATGGTGGTTGAGTTTAGGTTAAAAAAAATAAAAGAAAAAGGTTTAAGGAGAAATTTTAAGGTTAAGGATGAAGACATAGATGGATTTATGAGAAGTGTAATAGAAATAAAATACAAATTTTAAATTTGAATGGAAGTGTAAATAGAAAAAAGGGTGGAAGGTAATTTTTTTTATTTATTTATTTTTTAATAAAAGCTCTGTAGTTTCTCATTTCAAGTGCTTATGTGTTAAAAGACAATTACAACCCTAATGCCTAGATGGATTTTGGCTTTTCCTAATATAGCTTGAACTTTTGAAGACAAAAAGTGCCTAATTTGTCATAGCATCTGGGGGTGTTTTGGAAAAATAGTTAAAAATTGGTTTTTAACTTTTAACTTAATTTTTTGATTTTTTTGAAAGTGATTTGAAAAGTTGGTAAAAAATTATTTTTGATTTTTTTTGATTAATATTTGTTTATGATGTCACATCACAATAAAATGATCAAACTATCCTCACTCAATTTAAGAAATGAGCTCTGATTCGTAGCTCGAATCCGTGGCTCGAATTTGTGGCTCGACACCAAAACGACGTCATTTTTGTGTCTTTGTTTTTTTTTTTTTTTTTTTTTTTTTTTTGCAGTGAGGGAACGTGACTACACAGTTGACTGATGGGGAATCAATATATCTATATATATATCAGCAACTTTTCTCAAAGCAAGAGTAGTGACTGAAGCTGGTTTGTACATATATAGAATCTAATGGCTGACTGTTTAAGCATATCGGTCCTGAGCATCTTGAAACTGGGTTCCATAAGGATCATTATTGGTTGAAGCCTCAGAGGAACTAGATTCTTCAAAGGTTTCATCTTCAATCTGTGATTTGGCTTAGGCCATCAATAGCTTGGCCATCTGGATCAATTCATAACTGGATGACTTGGTGTTCGCTTTGGGCTTTGACTAAGCTGACTTGGATTTAGATGACTTGGGCTTGGAAGAGCTGGTTATTGGGCTTCCCTCTTCCTCTTTTCTCCTTTCTCTCTGTCTCTGTCTTCGAATTCGAGCCATTTTTCGAGCCACAGATTCAAGCTACCAATCTTTTTCCTTAAGAAATTTACATTTTCATCAATGTATAATCCTAAACAACATAAAAGATATAATTGTAATTTTACATGTAACTTTTTTAAAGCTTCCTAAATGACTTATATTAAAAAAACTAACCTAACTTTTTTGAACAAGCTGCAAAATGCAACTTTCAACCAAAGTTCCCAAATGACCACTCTATTAGGTTCTTTATATGAAAAATGTTGTACGTCCCAAATTTTCTACCAAATAAATGACCAAATTTCTCACATGAGTGTGGGGTCTACAAAATTACAAACCCCACACCTAGACATTTGGTCATTTATTTAATAGAAAATTTAATATTCTTAACATTACCTTCTTTATATCCCTAACATTACCTTCTTTATATTATATTGTTTTTGATGGGTATTTAGGGTCTAGTGATAATTGAAGAGTCAAAAGGGGACTAGCCAAACATTCTCTCTTCCCCAACAAAAGGTAAATAATGTCATTTATTAATGTACAAATACCGCATGCCATTAAAAAAATACATATTTTATTGTGTAAATGAATGTGTTATTATTAAGTTAGTTGAATGATTAATTATAAACGGTGGTGTTATATATATTAATTAGTGTATTAATATTAGTTATGACGTTATTATTGATCACATTTATTATATAAATTACAAATATTAAAAATCTCTTAAATTATGTTATCATCAATTGATACATTAATTAATATATTAATTAATACATATAACATTATTCAATTATAAATAGCGGTGTTGGAGTATACACTGCGCATTCATTTGTTACAATTAATTTTGTTTTCCATATACGAGGGAGAAAGGGGGGAGGGTAAATTACCCAAAATGAAGGGGGAGGAGAAATTCTATTAAAAATGTATTTGTCACATTTTAGTATATGCCCTCTTAAGTTATGTCATTTTTTTTTTTAATTTATAATTAATTTTCTTCTTTAATTATAACTTTATTCTAATTATAAATCGTGGGATTTTTTATTATGTCTTATGTGTTGTTTTGTTATAATTTGTTTTTATTTTTTATTTTTTAGTTATAACTTAGAAAATATGAAATTGTATCATTCTTTTTCTTTAATCATAACGTGCATACAGTATACATTCTTTGAGGGGTGTGTATCATAATCTTTCACCATTTTCATTTCTCATTCCAAAGTAATAAAAGAGTCCAAAACAAGAAAAAAAATGTCAGAGAAATTTAAAATAAAAATAAAAATTTGATCGGATAACAAAATAAATTCTGAATTTTTAATTTTATTAATTTAAATTCTAATTTTTTTAATTTATTTTCAATCTAAATCATTCGTCTATTTTTGTCAAGTAAAATCGACGGAGAAAATGTCTAAATATAAAATAGTGTACATAAATATTTTAACCATTAAATTTAATATAGTGTACATAAAATGTCTAAATACTATTTTTAGGATTGTTTTGAAGAATTTAAATAAGTATATTTTTTGACTTTTTATAAAAAGATGTGCAGAAAAATATAAAGGTATTGTGACCTAAATAAGTGCACTTATTTAGTTTATGTCAAATAGTGCCTAAGTTCAATAACTAAAATATTTTTTTTCTATTTGTTTTACTTAACGAAAATACGTAAATGATTTATATTTAATATAAATAAAAAGATTAAAATTTAAATTAACAAAATTAAAAAGTCAATTTATTTTGTTACAAAGGTCAAATTCTGGAGAAAAAAAAATTATATAATTTCCCCCAAATTATTTCTTTTGGAGGGTGGATTATGTTGCCCTCCAACAACGATTATCCAGGTGTATTTCTACTTCATTACTCAAGAACAGGCATTGCTTCTCTGAAGAACAGAATGGACTATAACTGTACAATTAGACATTTCATATTATGACCCTCTTTGCTCCAAGCTTGAACCCTAGTTTCGAAAACGAACACAAAACCAAGAAAGAAAACAAACGACAGTAGAGACATTCACCACGATCCTCTGTATACACCATATTTGCTAACCTTTTTTTATTTTTTTTATTTCTCAAATATAACATACAAATGCAAATGCAATACCCACTATGATGGGCTCATGTTCTATATACACAGCTCGTAAAGAGTTCACATTGAGTGCAAGTCTAAAATCTTCCTCATTTTGATGCTTAATAGTTCGCTGTGAACACAAGCAAGATGGGCATATTCTACATAGAGTAATCCCAGAAATTAAAGAAACAAATGTGGGTCAGGAGGTGACAATAAAGTACATTTCTTGGCTTTCTTGAATAGTTGGCATCAAGGAGAACAAATAGCTAACCTTAAAATTCTAACACCCACTATGATGGGCTCATGTTCTATATACACAGCTCGTAAAGAGTTCACATTGAGTGCAAGTCTAAAATCTTCCCCATTTTGATGCTTAATAGTTCGCTGTGAACACAAGCAAGATGGGCATATTCTACATAGAGTAATCCCAGAAATTAAAGAAACAAATGTGGGTCAGGAGGTGACAATAAAGTACATTTCTTGGCTTTCTTGAATAGTTGGCATCAAGGAGAACAAATAGCTAACCTTAGTAAGCCATGTAGGATGCTGAATGGCATGGTCCCAATCTTCGTGATATAAACCTACTTTTATTCTCTATCGCCCCTTTACCTCCATTTTTTATGACAATAACTGATGTTGCTTCTGTATCCTTTCATTTCATTCTTGTGAGATTGATGGTCGTGAACCGAAGATACGGTTGAGGGTGGCAGCCAAGCGGACCCCGCTTTGAGCAAGCCTCTTCTCCACAACAGGAAGCCGAGAGAGAAAGTAATCATCTGCATCACAAGACGAGTGAAACAGAGAATTAATACAAGCAAGGAATCCTTGTAACTTATCATGTAGTTCAATGGTTACACATTACGGAACATCATTGTTGCAAATTTGTAGGGCATTTCCCATAGTCCAAGAAGTTAGAGATGATGCTGACCATCGGGAACTTTGCAATTGGCTAATCAATTGTACAGTTCTGATCCCTTGCATCAGTTTGACAAAAGGGGCACTGCTACATGTGAAAGAATATTACTGATAAGAAGAAAATTAGTTCTTTAATCTTCTAGGTTGTTACTTATTATCATGTTCATTATCAGTCATCGAATGAATTTTATGGTGCACATCAATCCCTTAAATATCAATCCATCATCTAATTTTAATTAGTTCTTTAACTTAAAATATGATAAACAAACATGTAGAGATGCCCCTGTGGATTATTATAGCATAAGCAGAAAAGGTGAAAATTCTTAATATTCAGATTTTCCTTACTTTGTACAATATCTATACAAAATTGGTAAATTTCGTGAGAAGAAGCTGCAGGAGAATGTTCTTCAGAAAATTCTTCCAACCCATTAATTTCAACAACATATATTTTATGGTGTGCTTGAGGACAAATCGATCCATTGAATTTCAGATATCAGAGTTCTACTGCAAGTTTCAAATGTAACTTCAAATGCAATGTTTAGTGACCTCCACAAATGTACATTGAAACAGCACTAACATATTTTTTTTTAATTTTTAGATAGGACTTACATTAGTATGACTAAAAATGCACACATGGTAAGCTGTTGTTTGAAAGGAAAGAACAATAAAAAGAATCAATCATGTACCTCCTAGAGTGCTTCCTGGTGGCGCATTTCTGTAGGCAAACTTGCAGGCCAAATTAATGCTTTCAGAAGCATACCTGCAATGTAAAAACATCCAATCATAAATACTACACAAAACTATAATCTTATGTCTATTTCCATACAGTAATCTTTCATGCCACTTAGGTCATTGTTTATTATTGTTAGCAAATCTTAAAGCCATGTCATCTCCACATACAACTTATAGTCACATGAACAATAACCTTCAGTTTACTTATTTACTTTTTCCAGGTTCAGTTTCAGTCAAAATTCACCCTGCTGCTGAGATGGTCACTTCTTTCCCTTTCCATGCCTCTTTATGTGTCATTTGCATGAAGCTATAAGTTTTGATTTGAATGCCACACTCACACAGTGTCCAAAAGTAATGGAAGAGAAATATGCTTACGGGTCTGGACAAACTGTCTGACCAAGTGCGCAACCTTCCCACAGTAAGAATTCATCAGACCAACCATCCTATTAGAGAGAGAGAGAGAGAGAGAGAGAGAGAGAGAGATTAAATGTAAATATCAAATGTCATGCAGGAAAACACAACCAAAGACTTCTAAAAAATACTTAAATCACCACATTACAAAATTTACTTCCACGTCTAGACAAGCATTTTGAATGTTCAACTAAATGAAGTAACCACAAATATAGAGAAGCGATAGGATATAAGTAGGATCTTTTCGCTGTGGTTTTTTTGCAATTTAAGATTTTTGTCAGAATTTCCATATGTAAACATACAACTGCACAAGAGAGAGAGAGAGAGAGAGACAGAGAGAGGGAAGAAGAAGAAGAAGAAGAAGAAGAAGAAGAAGAAGAACCAACAAGGAAAAGGAATTCAAAGGCACGGATGAATTAACCCACAGAAGAGTACTAAATAAGGACAAAACTAGGTCCCACCAAGGTTCTCAAAATCCCAAACTCCTTATTTAATCTAACAGAATTCCTGGATTTCCTAAAATGGGCTAACCTGTATTTGACATTAAAATGTCCAATGAATTAATCAAGATTTTGTTTTCATCTTGCTTTCCATTTTTTTTTTTTTTTTTTTTGAATGTAGGTTCAATTTTCAATTGGCTCACAGAGCAAAATAAGTGCCTGTTTATTTCCACTTATTTGCATTCAGTGTAATACTTGGTAACACATGTTTTAGTAGTTGTACTTAATGAGTTAGGTGTTTGGTTCCACTTATTTGGTTTTGAGCTTATTTGTTTTTTTCAGCTTAAAAGCTTAAAAAAAGCTGAAAAGGCTAACTTGTTGGAGGCTGGGTTTCAGATCCTTTTTTTCAAGCTAAAAAAAGTGGAAACAAGTAAGCTCTAAATCTCAACTGGTGTCCACAATTCATCCATCAATTCCTTCCCCATATTGGTGTGGCTTCACTGAGTGTCCCAACACAATCACTAACATCAATCAATCAAAACTAGTCGAACCCTGTAACAAAAAAAAAAAACTAGTCGAACCCTACAGTGCAATAACTTGTGTAGGAATATACGCCCATGAAAGAAGTATTAGAAAAGTGTGTCATATGAATGAAGTTGCTGAGACAAAGAAAGTTTTTTGGGTGAATAGAGACAAAGAAAGTTGCTCAGGCTCTTCAGGGTAAAAGCAGCTTTTGTAGCAGACAATGGTATTCCACATTAAACAAAATTAAGATTTCTCTTGAATAGGAAAGCAAGACCAAAAGTTTTGATTAATTTCTTCTAAAACATGTTAAAAAGATTTTGTAGACTTCCAAGTAGTCTTCATGACGGTACATACATGTATAATGTCCATTTGAAATTGTCTTTGACATGGGATCTACCACCTTTGGACTTAGCATTGCCCCAGTGATAATCCTACTAGTATGGTAACAACCATGGACAATGAAAGCAGAGCTTACCGTAATATTCTTTTGAATAGCCTGTATCATAATTGAAAGATCTTTACTATAGAATGTCTTCAGGGCAGATTCAATTATCATAGTATCCCATACCTGGATAGCAAAAATGATTGACTATGATTATTAGAATAAATGATACCAATGCACAGAATAACATACTTCTATTGAGCACTATCTAATGAGGCTCCTTTCAGATGCATCCCATGTAGGATGTCTTCAGCAATAAAGATTGATCTGATTTCCCCTTTCAATTTCCTTAAATAAAGGAACCAATAAATAGCCTACAGTTACCAATAATGAATTCAATTTGGACACAGACCTCGGTCACAATGTTTCCTAGAATTATAAGAAGCATAAAATATATATATATATATATATATAACACTAAAAGAAGAATCAAAAAGGAAAAAACACTTTGATAACAAATTAATAGTAAGAACCTACATGGTGCAAATTAGTCTTCCTCTTACACCATCGGATAGTGATAGTGTTCCCACCTTCATCTCCAAGGAAACCAACATGAAGAGGCTGTCATCATAGAACAAGAAGCCAAGAGTAAATGTGCATTTCTCTTTAGTTGTTCAAATTTTTCAAAATTTGTTTTAAGTGTGAATTAAGAACCTTCAGGATTAGGCAAAGGAGAAATTAAAATGAACCAAAAAAAATAAAAATTACAGTGTAGAATAAATATCAGTGACTTCAGCCACTAAACTAATTAAAGCTAATCATTTCAGACATCGGTGAATTAATACTATACCAATGTTCCGCACTAATACCCTAAAACATGGATGCCAAGTACACCACATTGTCATAGCCCTATAGCACTGTAATGTCCATATTGATATGACAAAAACAAGTGGTACACAACAATTCATATTACTCTATATGAGAGCAGAAGATGCAGAAAATTATAATGATTCAAATTGTAAAAATAAATTTATCAAATGCACTAACAATTAGACTTCATATTACACCCAATTAATATGCTGCAGTGATAAATGAGGAAGTCACCCCCACAAGAAGAATCCCAGAGGTCTGTCTCATCCCAAACCCAAACATATTGTTTATTTCCAATTACAAGATCAGCAGAAGAAGATAAACGAAGTCCATTTAAATTATAATTAGTCTTCATTTATTGAACCCATGCATCAGATTTTTAAGTTAGCAGTAGGGAGAGCATACCTGATGGACATCCCCAATAAAATGTGATAAGAACATAAGTGCCTCTGTCAAATTGTCTGTCATAGAAAGAGGAATGAGCACCCAGATTATAGTCATAATGAAAACAGGTAAACCAGTGGGACTTACATTTCATTTCTGAATTAGAGTCACTATATGACATAAGTTGCATTGTATAGTTGTAAATTGCTCCAGTGACACACCTATTTTTATGACCAGCGGTGTCATGGCAGTCCCCTATATAAAGTTTAAGGGAGGTTAATTTCTGAGAATTGAGTTAGAGAAATAGCAAGTAGGTCGCACTCATCAACAACTTGACATTTATCAGAATTTCATCTCCAAAGATACAAGCCAGATTTGAAATGGAACTGTTCTTGCAGTAGTTTACATCATTCACTGATGAAGCAAATGACGATGAACAAGCTAAGTTATGTCTCAAGTAAAATAATGGTATAAGAATAAGTTGCAATAGAAACATTTGTAATACAAACGATGTGAGAAGACTCGCGTAATAAAGACAGGAAACTAAATGATAAGCTGAACTTACGGCAGTAGCTGTAGTTACACCTGAAATCGGGCGTGTCAACATAGTGTAAAGGTCCACTCCAGTGGAAGTGGAACCGAATCTCATCAGCCCAAGAGCAAACAGAAGCAAGATCACCTTCAGCATGATCAGGAAGCAATTCTTTCACTGCAGCTGAAGCATCTTCAGAAAGATATCCCTGAAATATCCAATAAATTTCGTATCGATTTCCTAAAGAGAGGATATCAAAACAAGTGTTGTTTTATGTAGACTTAAGAGATACTATGAGTGGGCTTGCCATTACTAGTAAATGGCGCCCCCTTCTACCCCACAAGTCCTGCCTTTTTCCACTTAAATTTAAAGCTGATATGGAGCTTTAGCAAACAATTCATTTGGATAGTTCGCAGAGCCAAATTGGAGTGCAAAATAATTAAGAAAGACACTAATCATGATTACATATTACATTCATCCAATTTGGTATTATGCTTGATTATAAGGAGTAAACGCCGACTTCTGAACCAGCAGCAAGCAAGATGTGCCTTAAAGCACAAAACCTACAAATGACAAGATCCTTTTGTCCAGTTTCCCAACTTCAATGTATTCTTCTAGTCCCAACTTCCATGTGGAGATGCAAAGAGACATGTCGAGAAAAGTATAAATAGGCCCAACGATGTATATCAAGCTATCCAACATATATATCTAAACTAAATCACGGTGTGCAAAGGCCCGCTTCCGATGGGTAACAAGTTTTCCACAATTAGATTACAGAACAACTCATTTCCATTCCCAAATGCTATACCATTCACAGAATGCACCCAAAATATGAAGTCATTTGCTAACAAGTACCCGACCTATAGTGTATAGATTGCAAGAAACCCAGTAAAGCATTGAGAAAACAAAACCAAAGTACAGTTTTCAAGAAACACAGCCTTAGGACATGGCACCCACATTTTCTCTTTCCTTTTCCAAATCCCTACCAAAATTCATGATCCAAACACAGCCTCAAGACATGGAATCATCTATCAAGAGTTCTAAGCATTACCATAAAACAATTTTGAATTTTACACCTCTCTGACAACTTAAGCTTTTACCCCTCTCTGACAATTTTGCATTTTACCCCTCTCTGAAACTTGATAATCAATTTTTTTTGGCTTATTTAAGTTATTTCTCTCATAAAATATTATAAGCAGAAACTACACATATATCTTCAAGAATTCTAATCATAATCATGAAGAAAACTAGAAATCTGATCAGTTGTAGAGTTACAAACTAAAATCACCCAATTTCTCAACAATCTTGAAAATTTAACCTCAGCAATCTTGCAGATAGTATAATGTCCTTCCTTTCCCCAACCCAGAATTCCTGGAACCAATTGCAGAAGAAGAATCACTCTCCCAATCCACAAGACCTCAAACCCACCCATGTCTGCTTCTGATGAAGAACAAAATTAGTAAAGTAAATTCAAAAAATGCAACAATATGCATATATTGATCTGTCCATACATAGATATATGTGTAGATGGAGAGAGTTAGCTTAGAAATTATAGATACCTGGTAATGTTGTTTGCGATTTTAGCATAAATTTTGATGATCGAATCAGTAAGAAATATATAAACCCTAGGACTCAACTACAGGACTTGAGCGGTAGTTGTATGCGAATTCCGATGCTACGGTTGGTAGTTTTAAAGTTTTCTCTTCGGGTACTCTCGGTAATAATTTCAAACGTTTTAACGGAAAACAATCAACCCCTTTGCTTCCGATTTGTTAAATTCAATTTTATTTTATTTTTTTAGAATTTTTTTTAATATTTTAAATAATTTGTTTACTTTTTAATATATTTAAAAAATAAAACATTTGTAAGAAAATATTTTATAAAATTAATAAATATATAAGAATACAAAAATATATTGAATTTTTATTTTTTTATATTTTTAGTATTTAGTGATTTTTTTAATGATTTTTTTTATAAATATTGTATTTTTTAATTATATTTATATTAAGTGTATCTAAAAATTTAAAACAAATTACTGAAAATAAAAAAAAAAAACTAAAAACTAAACATTCAAAAATTTAAATTCAGAAAATTAGAACCAAATAAGGTGAATACGACACCGGATAATGATGAGGAAATGATTCTTTGGCGAGGCAAATCACATCCATAAAAGAGTGACCGGTTTTTGTAGTGTTAATTTATATTTTGCCAATTTAATTGACAAAGTTTATTATTAGTTAATATTTTAGTTAAAATGTTAAAATTGACAAAAAAAAAAACAATTAAAGATTCCTTTTCATTGACTCTATTCTTCTTACATATTTTCTTAAAAAATTAAAAAGTCATTTCCAAATATATTACTAATTTTTTAATTTCATATTTTAGTCAAAAAATTAAGAATTCACTAAAAAAAATCACCTTTCAAATTACCGCTAAAGGAAAAAAATATTTTTTTTACTTTTTCAAGTAGTTCATGCTAATAGACATACTATTTAAATAGTTCAATCCCTTTCAATACATCATTTGCCCTTGATTTGTGTCAAATTTCTCCATTAATGTTTTTATTTTGACTAAATTAAGACAATGTTAAAAATTAAGAGTTAGGCTTGTCTCAAATTTAAATAAACTTGAGAGAAGCCAGACTAAAAATAAATCAAATTGACACAATTTACAGGAACTGTGAAAAGGATTTGCCCCTTTTTTAAATGAGAAGTGTTTGAAGTTTTGTCTGTAGTATTTCTTAAATACAAAAAGTTTCTTACGAGATATTTTGGAAAGTTGATTAAAAGTCACTTCCCAACTTTTAACCTATTTCATCTCTCACACAAAAAAGTTAAAAAATCAACTTTTAACCATCTTCTCAAAACATCATCAACATATAATAAATAATTACTAAACAAGGCACTCGAGTGACCTTAAAAGATAATTTTGAAAAAATTTCAATAAATTTTACTTTTTCATAAAATTCGTGTTGAACCTTATCAACAAATGAATCAATTCCCTCACCATAGTGTTAAAAGGATTTGACAAAAATTTTATGGGGGAAATAGTCATTATGAATTTTCTCCTTTTTTAGATTGTTCCCAGTGAGAATGATCCAACTTGTAAAATTAATATTTAATTTAAAGTAGTTCAATGAAAGTAATAAGAAATCCATACCCAAACAAAAACATAGCAAATTTTAGGAATTATGAATTTGTGAAAAGGAAGAAAAAAAAATAGACAAACAAATGTTTTAAAAATTAAGGTACTTATTGAATAAGATGAGATCTATTCATGTGGACAAATATGACAATTCAAACAAAAAACTGGAGATTCTCTAATTAGATAAGGGTTGGAGAGCAGCCTTTCTCAAAAGTCATGAGTAGGAAGTTATTGAACAAATATTAGAGAATCCGAAAAGTTATTTATAAAAATTTAAAAAAAAAAAAAAAATTGAAAACTTTTATAGTCCAAATATATGCAAGTGATGATGCCTCAATGATCACTTTTGCATACTATCCCATTTCCACCACCACTCCCTCTGGTGCAATCTATGGTGTTACCCCCACTATATTCCAGTCCCATTGAGCTCTCTCTCCCCACAATTTTCTCATTAGAAAACGTATGACAAGTTTCACAATCCACAGACAAAAGTGAACTAGTTTCCTATACATATCTTCCCCTCCAACCACCGCCACCCCGCCTTTGCCGGATTCTTGAAATATGGCCGATAAGTTTGGCCAAGAACTCCATCAACTTCATTGGACAAGCCCATGAACCTAAATTGCACTTCCAAGTGGGCAAAACTATCATCACAAGGTATCCGATAATTGTGTATTTGATTTTCCTCTTCACTCACTGGTACCACACTCACAAGTACCTCCACAATCTCCGGTTCAATGACAATGACACTGTTCTTGCTTGAAGTACTCTCTATTGTAAGATCATTGTAGAGAGAATTCCATTTGGAGGAGTGACCTTCTGGTATTATTTGCGCAATCCCATCATAGGAAAATTGGAAGTGATCAACTTCGTTGTCTCATTTTTGGGCTTTCTTGGCTTCGAGTGTGAAGTTGTGAGAGCCGAACATAAGACCTAAGGCTTGGATCCATGTGTAGTCACGGGTTCTTCCAGAAGGGCAGAGGCCAATGAAACAGGTGTTGATTTGGAGATTGGGATCAGATACCAAGCTGAAATGCTCGTTGCTCTTGCCCAGGGCCGACCCTGAGGGCATGCAAAAGAGGCCTGCGCCTTGAGCCTCCAAATTTGGGCTGAAAATAAGAGCCTCCAAATATAATTTTATGTTTTAGATGTAAAAAAAAAAAGGCACAAATACTATAGGCCCAATTGAATATGGGGCCAAAAAAAAAAAGAAACACAGTCCACAGATTGAATGGGTTAGCTTTATTATCCATTGAAAAGGATATTGTCATGACCTGAATCCGCCCCTATGGGTTAAGGACATAACCGGTCAGTAATCCTGAGATTACCTACAGCCTCAAACCAAAATAGACATAACTCGTCAAAGTATAGGGGCCAACGGAAGCAAAAATTTTAAACTTTGTCCATAGAGCCGTGCTTATAGGCACATCAAAACAAACCATACATATGCACGTTAATAACTCACAACAAAAACATAGTACCAAAAGTTATGCACAACAGGATCATTCGAGTCTAAGTCAACCCATCTCAACTATATACAGATATACACAAAGTCCTCGCCCACATGACAAAATATAATACATAACGAAATGGCAAAGACGGGTCTTGTACGTGAGACACAAGGGCTGACTCTCCAAAACCTTTGTTGTTCTTGACAGGCTTCACTGGGGCTGGGTCTGGACTTCTCTTGGCTCACCTACAAACACATGAATGAGCGTGAGCGATAGCCTAGTGAATAATATCAAATACAGAAGTTATACAAACGATATGTAGAACAACATGCTCCAAACGGCCTTGAGCCCAATTCATATTTCTATTTAACATATATATATACACTTAATTTAGGTCAAGTGACTGTGGTTCCAAACATACTGGCCTTTGGCCCATTTATCTTTCCATAACAAACTGGCCCTTGGCCCATTCAGACTTTCGTTCATGTCAAAACAGCCTCTGGCCCATTCATTCATGTCAAAACGGCCTCTGGCCCATTCATTCTATTATTCAGATCGAACTGTTGTTCTTGTCAAACTATTACTTATATCAAACTATCATTCGTGTCAAACTATTATTTATGTCAAACTATCACTCGTGTCAAACTGGCCTTTGGCCCACTCAAGTGACAAACTGGCCTTTGGCCCATTTAAATGGCAAACTGGCCTTTGGCCTATTTAGACTTTCATTCATGACAGAACGGCCTCTGACCCATTCATTCATGTCAAAACGACCTTCGGCCTACTCATTCATGTCAAAACGACCTTCGGTCCATTTATTTATGTCAAAACGACCTGCAGTCTATTCATTTATGTCAAAACGACCTTCGGTCCATTCATTCATGCCAAAACGACCTTCAGTCCATTCGTTTAAGCCAAAACGACCTTCAGTCCATTTGTTTATGCCAAAACGACCTTCGGTCCATTCATTTACGTCAAAACGACCTTCGGTCCATTCATTTATGTCAAAACGACCTTCGGTCCATTCATTTATGTCAAAATGACCTTCGGTCCATTCATTTATGTCAAAACGTTGTCCACCAATTGAATCGACGAACTTATAAAACTTACATAGAAGTGAGCAATTGGACAACAGTATATTTCAGATATCTTGATAAGATATTACTCACAGTGATCGGTTGGTTGGTTCACCCTAGAGCTCGACCTTACACATTTCACGAATACAAAAGGGTCATTAACAATTCAATCCGTTCCTTATTTCACATATTCCTCTTTAGGCCTTGTTCTTATCTCTTTAACTCATTTACAATGCTTAACACATGCCTAAGAGTGCTTGCAAGTGAAAGAGAACGGAAAACGAAACACTGAATGCGAAAACAAAATTTCAGAAAACAGGATCCCTGCTCGAGCGTGGACTCCACCGCTCAAGCGGACCCTTAAGGCCTGCAAAAGTACTGATTGCATGAAAAATACGCTCGAGCGTGAAATAGGGTGCTCGAGCGGAAGGCCTGTCTACGTAGCTCCCTCGCTCGAGTGTGAACCCACCAGCTCGAGCAGACACCAAGTTTGTAAAAAGTACTAGGAGCACGTTTTTCACGCTCGAGCGGATATCAAAATTCTGGGTTTCCCAGATTGTGTTCTTGAGCTCAAATTCGACCTTCAAGCTAACATTTCTTGCATGCAATGGCTCAAATCTCAAATATAATTATACTAGCATGGTATAAACCCCAAATTACAATCCAATGAAGCTCAATTTCACAAATAAATCACATGCATGCCCCAATCTCCCATCAAACTCATTCTAACATAACAAATTCATGCATTAAAGCTCATATTCTCATGAATTGTACATGCATGTGCTATATTACCCTTACGCTCAACTTAGATGATGAAAAGGTAATCAAAACATGAGCTTCAACTACAAATTTACAAGGATCATACCCTTTGAGCTCAAACATGCCATATTCAAAGCAATTACACACATGCATGCACATATGGGTCTTCATTACAACAAATTCAACTCAATTTCCTTATGATCAAACTAAAATACATGAATTACTCACCAAGGAGCTTAATCTTCCAAACCCTAGTCAATTCTTGGACTTAATCTTCAAGATTT